CTGCGTGAGATATTGCTGTGGTAGTATAAAAAGACATGTCGATGTGCGGCGCGCGGCGCGACATCTAGTGATTTTTCGGAGTTCGAGCTTTGGTTTAGGATCCCCTTATTTTTTAAAATAAAATTTGAATGCATTTGATGTTTACAGGAAACCTTTATTTTTAACAAATATAAAAAATTTTGTATTTTTATTATGTCATTAATTGTGACTTAGCGCTCTGAATTGCTTTACGAAATGAGCTGCTGAGAGCGTAAATAAGCAGGTAAGCTTATAGAATTATGCGTGCTATGGAGAGAATGTAATCAATCTTAACCGTGTAGTTTATACGAAGTTTCCACTCATCTCGCTTATATCTTGGAATATATTAATACTAAATTGAGCACGTACTAATTGAAAATTATGAACCTTGCGCATATAAAATAAAAGTGCTTATTTTTCATTAATGAGGGATTGTAACTATGCAATTTATTTTGTTGGTTTTTTGTATATGATTCTATTTGACATTTGAGTAAGTGAATTACAGCACAATTAAATTGAAGTAAGTAAAATTATTTAAGTATTGGAATAATTTATATTGTTTTGATTAAAAAGAAATGTATTTTTTTATATATCATTGATAACAACATATATACGTGAAAAAGTAATTGTACTCGTTTATATGACGTTTGTGAAATGATTGAGACGTTATCAATATTGTTACTAAAAGTTTAAATCGTACGAATTCATTGACATTATTCGTTGTGTAGAGATCGAAATCATTGCAAAGTATTGTTTGAGCAATGGACACTCACTAGAAAATATGTCTGGTAGCAGACGATGAAATTTCAATCTTTTATCAATGAAACGAGAAGTTACAGAATACTGGAAGAGAATTAACTTAAAAGTTTGCCGAAAACTTGTTTCATTGCTCGCTCATTAGTCTAATACTTATATGTATGAATTTCTGTTTATAATAGTTAATATACCTCCATGTTTTCGTTATACAAAAATTAATAACTTTTTTATTTTAATCAGAACCAATTTGAGTTATAATACTTTTTGATAGAGTTTTTTTAAAAATGCTGCCTAAAACTCTCCTAAGAAAATATTAGATTTTTGAAAAAAATTTCTTTGGAAAACTATGTTTATAATTATTATTTCTTGGATAATATTTTAATTATACTTTAATTATATATAATTACTGATTTACTCATACAATTAATGACTGAAACAGATTGACGATTGAAACAAATGTTTATAAAATACAGAACAAAAATATATTCTTAAAATTTTGTTTATTTGATAATTTTGTTGAGAGAATAGAATTTGATATCATAAATAATAGAAAGGGAAATTATATAAATAATTATATCAGGGATTCTAACAATCATACTAAATAATATATTCTTGAAAAAAGAATACAAGAGTGATATAATAGTGATATACCAATATTGAATGTTAAATGTATTTTTAAATCATATAAATATATTAAACTAATTGTGAGTTACAAATGTACAATTACATCTCATTCGTTAAAGATACTACTTTAAACGATACACCGTTTAAGGGATTAAAAGCGTTATAAATGTCAACGCGCGTATTTATTAATGTATGAAAAGTTTCCATATAATTGTTGAATGAAAAGAAATGTTATTAAAATATCATGTATACGAGTTGGTTGAATAAAAACTATCAATATTTAATATGCTGTTTTATATATTTTATTATCTCGATTGATGTCGACTTATTTGTTAATTAATGTTTCTTTTTTAAAATTAATGTTAGTGCGCATAGTTATTATTCTTTATTGTGTATCACGAATTTTCAAGTACACAGAACTACTAATGTGAGAGAAATTATTAGAATACTAACTTAGGAAACTCGCATACAATTTATAGAGCTAGAAGAGAGCACTGGCGGAAGTTGGAGCGCTACAATACCGTATTATGTACTTAAGAAACCATCTCGGAGTTCCTAAATTGAGTTGTTCATGAGATAAGTTTAATCTGTATAATTAGGCACATAGCTTTACACGTGTTATAATAGTTGTATTAATTGACTGATTCTTTAGCTTCTCTCGCTTTATTTATAATGGTATTATTGTACATGAGATATTTAAAGTAAAAAGAAAAATTTATAGAAGAAGTTTGCATATCGAGATGTTTGAAATTACACATTAACGAAATTGCATCTGGCGCATTACATTCAAATTTTAACTTGCTTGAAAGTTTTACAAGTTATAAAACTTAGAACAGTAACGTTTCAGTATTAATATATAAAAGTTTTCGTATTAATACATATATAAGTTGCAACAAGAAAATTATGTGCAAAATTATTTTAATATGTAAGTTTAATTTCCTGGAATGCATAAATGGAGACTAATATCTATTAAATGATAAAACTAATCAGAAATAGAAATTGCACAAGTAATTATTGAAATAATTTTTAGCAGCGGAAATAGCTGTTATTTTTTCGAGAAATATTAAGAAATGCTTAAAATCGTTTAACCGACATAATAAAATTAATCTGTAA